TCCTCAAGACAAGAAGGAAATTTCCCAAAGGAGAAGTAACTCGATACAAGGTGAGACTTGTGGTGAAAGGGTTTCTTTAGAAAGAAGGAATCGACTTCGACGAAGTTTTTGCACCTGTTGCTAGGATCGAAAAAATCAGGTTGGTTGTTTGTCTAGTAAACATAAACAACTGGCAACCATGTCAAATGGATGTGAAATGTGAATTCATGAATGACCTCTTAGATGAAGAAGTTAATATTGCACAACCAGCTGGGTTTTTGAAACAAGGCGGAGAAAGCAAGGTATATAGGCTGCATAAAGCTCTGTATGGACTTAAGCAAGCTCCAAGAGCTTGGAATAAAAAGATTGATAGCTTTCTAAGGGAGAAAAAATTTATGAAGTGCACAGCTGAGCATGGAGTATATCTAAGAAGAAGTAATAGTGAATTGTTTATACTATGTCTCTATGCCGATGAATTGTTGATAACAGGAAGTTGTAAGAATGAAGGAGATCGAAGACTTCAAACATGACCTACGTGAGGAGTTTGAAAAGTCAGATTTAGGAAATATCTTAACTTAAAGGTTAAGATATATTCACTTAAAACTAACACATGAGTATTTTAATGGAATTTATCTTAGCTATTGAATTGATAATAATAAAGGGGTAGAATTTAATGTCAAAATTAATATTTGACATCGGTGTCAAATAACCCTCTCCATATATATATATATATATATATATATATATATATATATATATATATATATATATATATATATATATATATATATATATATATATATATATATATATATATATATATATATATATATATATATATATATATATATATATATATATATATATATATATATATATATATATATATATATATATATATATATATATATATATATATATATATATATATATATATATATATATATATATATATATATATATATATATATATATATATATATATATATATATATATATATATATAATTTTAGTATAAAAAAGAAAAATTTTCAATCATATTTTGTAAGGAATTAATATTTTAATTTGTATAAGTTGGAGGTTGATAATGGATTTCTCCATTAAGTTTGGATCTTGTGTTGAATGAATGTGTGATGGGAAGGAAGAGTAAGAAATGGGTAAGAAACTAACTAACTATCCACTTAAACGAGAATTTGGCAGTAGAATTCTATAGAGTAATCGACTTATTATTAGGGGTATGCAGACCAAGTCCAAATTCCTATTTCTAGCCAGAAAG